TGTGTGTGTGTCCACTGAGATCATATCTGTTGCAGCTCTGTGTCCCAATCATTCCTGTCATTCGGAAATCCAAAAATGGTCACAGCTGCCGAGAGAATCCGTAAAAAGGCTAGATTTTGATTTTAGGCCCATGCTTGTAGAAGCAGGAATATTTCGAGCGTACAGAGGTGTTCAGTAGGAGCCGCCTCTCAGGGGTCGGCGAGCTTAGGCTAGCGTAAGAATAACCTAGTGATGAGGTGTTCTGCCTTGGTATTTCACTGGACACACACGTGCCAAAACAGCTCTTTATGGATATGAATTGCTCCCATCAGTTGTATTATTTTAAATGTTTTTTATTTCTGGTATTTAAATGCTTATTTTATTTAATCTGAATGAAATTTGAGTTGTGCACGTGTGTCTGACTGTTAGCCTCGCTTGTCAATTTCTGAATGCTACCCGTTGGATGCTAACTTGTTTCTCAAGGCCTTTCAGGAAAAAAAGGAAAGAAAAAAAAAACAGCAAAAATGCACTGTGTGTAATATAGACAGGAAGTGACATAATCTAATGCAATATTTGTGCTGCTATTGACAGTGGGTCAGTGGTAAACATGGATGTAACATAGAAAATGCGTGTCCGCACATCAATGCGGCGTGTTTTTACTAAATGATCCCCCTCCCTAACTGTGGGGGGAGGGGCAGAACTCTGTCTGGAATATAGTTTGAAGAACAATAAAGATGTGGGAAATGTTATTTTGGCTCTGAGTGCCTATGAGTGCAATTTGTCTAACTCTCCGTGTCTATCAAAGATGTTGCATTCCAGGTTTTTCCGAGGTCGTCCTGCAAGAGCAAGATGAATATGACCTACGGATTATCGAGTTGGTCCCCAGCAGTAGAATATGCAGTTTTAATTTTCTTTTATTGAAATTTTAAAAATTTTATTTAGGTGTTTTGGGGAAGTGTATTACTATGATCTGGATGGCTTTAAGCACCTGATTTTAATCAGGTGCTTAAAGTACCTTGACCACTCGAGCTGTATCTAGAATGTTCTCCAGCAGATAGGGGACTTGGCAACTCCACATAAGGCAGGATAGTCTTCCACTGACCCTCTTTCCCTGTCGAACCCTCCTTATTTTTAGATATTTTCTTTGTGTAGATATCTCTGTCTAATGAATCACAAAGCTGTTATTGTATGTTTGAAGGCCCTGTGGACTCCATTGATCCTGTTGGACGAGGATGTGGTGATGTGGCCATGGGCTTGACAGTGAGGGAGTTTGGATTTATTGTTTTTGTGGTAATGTGCTTTTTTTCTGTATAAATAGCAGTCTATCGGTGCACGCTAGCTTCCGCCGCTTCCCATGCACTGTAGGGCTGCCCTGCCAATGATACTCTGGCCCGGGGAAGCTGGCTTTAGTGTTGCACTTTTACTTATTTAGCAAACATTTTTATCCAAAACAGACGTTGCTGGGGTTAAGGGCCTTGCTTGGGGCCCAGCAGCGGAATCACTCTGCTGACCCGGGGATTTGAACCAGCGACCTTCCTACCTGCTGAGCCACCCACCGCACCCAGTAATGGGCCGACCTGAGGGGTTCCCTAGCCTATGGAAAGGTGCTGGTGAGAGGGGAGATGGTGACAATTTTTTGTGTGTCAGTCAAAATCCAAGCTCATTTGGCTGTCTCTGTGGTCCACAATTTATCCTCTATTTTCCACTTTCTTCAGTGAAACAGCTGTGTCTGCATCTGTGCATGTGTCAGGCCGCACGTGCTTCTGCGTTCACTCCTCGCTGTCCCTCTAACGTGTCCCTCTGCTTTGATCTCCCGCATTCCTCAACAAGCTTACACGTCTGCAGCTGCATTTCCATTAATTTACTCAGATGAAGTTTTCTGTTATGTCTCCGGGCCACAGAGTTAAATTATGAATTGGGTCATTCTCACAAATGAGACTCTTTAAAACAATGTTATAATGAAAGTGTTTGTTTATCGTGTGTCGCGATTGACATCACCTTAACATTTTGGATATTTTTAAATTGTCATTGTCGCTCTGATTTAATAATTTTTTTAACCCTTTATCGTAAAAAGGTAGTCAAAAATCTTATTGTAACAGGATCCAACAAAACTAGATGAAATGTTTTCAAATCTGCCAACGTGACTGCCTAATCAATTTGTACAATAAGATGTGTATTTTCTGCTCAATTTTTAAGTGGCCCATTTGTGGAGAATATAACTCATGAGGTTTTCTGTGATTGTGTGTGTGACGCAGGAAGTGTAGTTAGTGAGAGTTAAACCATAACTTGGTCCGCCAACCTCTGCGAATTAATTTATTGCCCAGTGACCAGTGTGGCATCTTCTGTAGGCACTGATTGCCCAGTTAAACCTTTTTCCTACCATCTAGCAGGACAGTTTTGTCATTTCCTTAATCTCTGTAGCTCTTTTCCTGGATTTGATTAAATACTTCTATTACAGAAATAAATTGTAATATAATAAAAGTGATTATAGAAAATGAAGTGTAATTTGAGTCGGTCTGCGAACTAATTTTGAAAATTGGCGAAAATTAATATGTTACAGTATTGTTTGAGAATAACAGAAACACGCCCTATTGGGTCAATCGACGTCATGCAAATAATACCAATGGCATTTATCATCCTGCGAGATTAAAATCCACGTCTTGTACTTCAACATGGTGCAGACTCCCCATGAGTCAGAGTAGCTTAGTAAGAGTTCATCATCATGTCCTACACAAGACTAGGCACATTTTATTTATGTAGCAATTCAGACACAAGGTGAGTGCTTTACAGAAGCATCACGATGCTTTAAAAAGACTAAAATCACTTTTTAAATACTAAAACAGTTAAGAACAAAAAAGTTACAATGTGGAAGTGCATGAATGAACTCTGCTGACTATTTACTGCAGCTTTTCAATAAATTGTAGTTTTTGAAAAGCTGCAGTAAATAATAATCTGTTTAAGCCATGATTTTAAATGAGCAGACAGGTTCAGCCGACCTTAGCTCTCCAGGAAGCTTGTTTCACTGACAGGAAGCATAGAAAAGCTGCATCCATCGCCCTACTTGGTTTCGATTCTAGGAGTGCTAATCAGCTTCTTCCCGATGACCTGAGCGCTCTGGGGGTTTCTTGAGGTCCAAGTAAATCAGAAATATACTTATGAATGAGTCCATTTAGTGTTTTATAGACACGATAGTATTTTAATATCAATCCTGTGACGGCCAGGAAGCCAGTGCAGTGATTTATGGACTGTTAGTGAGGTTCAAGGGCATCATGGGAACATGGGGGGGGGGGGCCCGCAGGTTATATCTAGCAGCCTGCCCATGGGGGCCGGGTTTCCAGCTACGCCCCTGGTCCTGCGTGTTTTACTGATTTGTAAACTTTTTTTTTACTTATTTACTTTTTGTGAATTACTACTTTTTTAAATTGGCCACAGAAACCACCTCAAGCATTCGTAAAAACTTTTCTGCGATTTCCGCAGGCCGTCATGGCTTCAGCTTCCGCAGGCCGTCATGGCTTCAGCTTCCCCAGGCCGTCATGGCTTCAGCTTCCCCAGGCCGTCATGGCTTCAGCTTCCCCAGGCCGTCATGGCTTCAGCTTCCCCAGGCCGCCATGGCTTCAGCTTCCCCAGGCCGTCAGCTTCAGCTGCTCACTGGTCACCCTCCTAAATGAAAGACGGGGGAACCAATGTGACCCCTGAGGGCTTAAGTATTTATTCCTACACAGTTCCATTTAAAAAACTGAGTTCTGAAGAGATGCAGCTGGTTCCAGGTTTTAATGAAAGGCAGAAGGACCCCCGCCCCCCCGCCCGCCTTATCTGTGCTGCGGTTACAGCTCTTCTGGGGATTTTGTGTTCAGTAATTACGCCTGCGGGCTCTGCTGCTGACCACGCCTCAGGTCCCTGCTCTTTGTGTGTGTGTGTGTGTGTGTGTGTGGGTGGCTGTGGGTTTGCATGGATCACATTTAGGGACCAGAATGTCCCCAAAGTGTGGTAAAACCTGAAATTTTCTTACTTTTTGGGGACATTTTTCAAATTTTACATCTGTGACTGCAATCAATAAAATTAAAATTCCAAAAGACTTGTATTTTGTTTGGTTACTTATGCTTCAGTATAGGACTGGGTAGGGGTTAAGGGTGTCGCGATTGGCAATTTCCCATAAAAATAAATGTAAGGTCCCCATTTAGATAGGTACACGGGTTTGTGTGTGTGTGTGGAGTGGAGGGGAGGACAGGACGCGATGAAAATGAACGGCTCGTGAAACCATACCACACCGGTTGCCATGGGGTCGCCTGCCAACTGACTGAGTATTCCCATCCTCTTTTTACAAGCTGCCTTTAATATAAAAGTTTTATATACTTTATTGTACACTAGTTAAATGAAATTGTAGCAAGTGGTTGAACTGGCGAGCCAGAATCTGGAGGAACTCCAGCTTAATGAAGATGACGTCCCCCTCGCCTAGTGTCCAGTCTGTGTCGGCCACCGTCTGGATGGCTTTTTATAAAGTTAATCATGGCCTGGCTGTATATGATAGGTGAGAACAGATGTATGGCGGCTGTTTGTATGCAGGTTAGTATAGGGTGACTGTATGCTAGTCAGCCCTTAATTTTTTAAGGAAGCTTTTGCAGATCTGACCACGGTGGCAAACAAAGGGGGGGGGGCTTTTCGCTCCTGCAGATCATCTCTGATCTGCTGAACCCCAAAAACCCCCAGATGTCCATATTTGCTCAGGGATTCTGGCATCCTGTATAATTAGGCCCAGAGAAGGAGTAGCTCGTGCAGACAGGGAATCACGCGATAGAACAAGAATGTCTCTCCTCCCACCCCCGTCTCCCCCCTGTGAACCCTGGTTTGTGTACTTGACTTGGACTTCCTCACGCATATGTACCCTGAATAAATATCGTCACTCTCCTGCCATCAACCCCAACAAACTCAAGTATAAACCAATTTAAATAAATTCAGTGGAGTCATAAATTCATTACAGTTGTGTTACTGAGCATTTTCAAATAAACAGACACGCAGGAACCCATTTTCTTGCAAACACAATTTATTGAAACATGCAAATGAGGTGATAGTAAGAGACGACAGTATGAAGCCCAAACAGGAAGATAATGGGTATGAGCTGTATAAGGCAGTGGTTGTGGCTGCCTGGCGGTTGGGACAGGAAGTGCTTATGGAAGGAAGGATGTTTCTACATTCATGCAATTGATTGCTGATTGGTTAATCCCAATGGAATCCTACAAAGCAACCCCTGAGAGGTTAAACCTCTCGGAGACTGACTCCGTCCCATCGACGGGGGGGCGATTAACGGCTCTTTTCTCCCATCAAGGAGGTCAGTGGTAAAGTGTCATTTGATCAAATCTTGGCTGAATGCCTCTACTTCAGTGACTGTGCCAAGTTTGGGGGGTTGGGGGCAGCGTTCATATTGCCTTGATTAAGACACTTCTGCTTCTTAGGTGCCACTGGGGCCAGTATCTCAAAACCTACTAAGGGTTTGAGATACTTGCCCCTGAGTCACCAGAGTAAGTCTTCTCATCTGTTCTGCACTATGGTACTGCTAATCATTTACTACCCTTGTGATTTTGACAAAAACACAGGGACCAAAACAAGCCGTAGAGTGCGAAGTATCTATATTTATATAAATATGGTTCTTGAACAGAATTAATGGATGTACTGTAGAAGTGACATTCTCATAACAAAACACTGCTGAGGGTAGGGATTCTGTGTTTTGTAAAAATTTGGCATGTTGTCATGGTAATTTGCTGTGGTAAATGGTATATTTTAAAAGCGTTGGATGTCATTGCATGGTGGTATATGTATAGCAGTATAGGCAAACAAACTGTACTGAGCATTTTGCACAGTGCAATAGTGGAGTATATTGTCAAAATGTCCTGGATGCGTTGCACAGTGATACAGTGGTATATATTAACAAAATGCCAAAGGGGTGTTGCACAATGTAGTGGTATATATTACCAAAATGTATTGGGGGTGTTGTATAGTGGTATATATTACCAAAATGTACTGGGGGTGTTGCACAGTGATGTAGTGGTATATATTGCCTAAATGCACCAGGGGTGTGGCACAGTGATGTAGTGGTATATATTAACAAACTGTACGTGGCATTTTGCCCAGTGAAATAGTGGGGTATATTGTCAAAATGTCCTGGATGCATTGCATAGTGATACAGTGGTATATATTAACAAAATGCCCCGGGGGTGTTGCACAGTGTAGTGGCATACATTACCAAAATGTATTGAGGGTGTTGTATAGTGGTATATATTAATAAAATGTACTGGGGGTGTTGCACAGTGATGTAGAAGTATATATTAACAAAATGCACCAGGGATGTTGCACAGTGCTGTAGTGGTGTATATTACAAAAAAAGCACCAGGGGTGTTGCACAGTGATATAGTGGTATATATTAACAAAATGTTATGTAGTTGTATATGACTCTAAAATGTACTGGGGGTGTTGCACGGTTATATAGTGGTATATATTAACAAAATGTACTGGGAGTTTTGTATGGTCATATAATGGTTTGTCTTCCCAAACGTCCTGAAGGTTTTGCTTAGGATATTAATTTTCAGAATGAATAGGCAGGGATTGTGTTAGAGTTTGGTGCTAGTGAGTTTGGGGGGGCATCTACAGGGTAGCAGAGTGTGGGTTTGGGGGTTCACATGCCGCCCTCTGAGGGGATGTTTCTGAGATCAGCGGAGCAATTGATAGTAAAGACACTATGAGCCGCGCTTCTCTGCTGGATCACGCGAGCCACAGCCTCCCCCAACTCCAGGTGGCTCAGGTATCCGGGGCCCATGCGCTCAGGTGCTGCCACACCGCTGTTGACCTTCAGCTGTCACAGGGGCAGAAACGCTTATCAGAGGCTCAGTAAGTTGCACGTTATTTCCATAATTATGCAGTCCCATGGCGTATGGTTTGTTCCCCAATATTTTTATTAAATCCCAAATCACTAGAAGATGTTGCGCCAAACACTCTTAAGTCTAACGCCAAAATCTCAAAGGAAGCCCTTGAACTCTGACAGCTCTTTGAATTAATACTCTACATACATTTCAATTAAATCTCCCATACATTTTCAGCCTTACTCCAACAGGAACTTCCCATTTCAATATCGTTCACTTGAATTAAGTATTGTGTGAATGTCTATGGTAGCTTACAGAATACAGTAATTACAGTTCACAAGCAAACCAAAGCAAATGGCTCAGAATGCTGGTAGCTAGCTGACCTACTTTGAGACATTTGTTCTATTTTCATGTAACTGCAGTTAAATCTTTGTTCTGTCCCCTGTTTTTGAAGCATCGACTGGGTGAGAGCCATGTGTGAAGGCTACCCCTCCGTGTTTATGGCAGCAAATCAGGATCAAGGAGTATCACCTTAAGGACTAGGGGGAGGCCTCACCTGGATGAGTTTACAGGGCACCTCTGCGTACTCCTCCCGCAGCACCTGGCAGAACGCCAGTGCACTCGCTGCCCCCAGTGTCAGGAATCCAGTGCCCGGCATCAGCAGCCGCTCTCCGGCGCCCCCTGCAGCACGTGATACAACCGTTTGGTGTAACTTGAAAGAACAGCACACCTGTCTTAGCCACAGGACAGAGGTCTCAAAGTTCATAGTTTGGTTCATAAAGCTCAAGTGGCCTTCTCTGAGAGACAGTCTCCTAGTTGGTGCCCCCCAAGTCATTTCAGTGTGAGACCTCCGCCACAGAGTCACTGCTTAAGACACAGGGTATAGTGCTTACTCTACAGAGCAACTACACCATATCACTTTAAAAAAAAAAAAAAAAAAGAAATATTACTAAATTAACCTGCATCTTTCTAGAAATCAGTACTGGGTTTTTAGACAAAAATATTCACCTGTAATAAAGGTGTAGGTGCCGTTAGGGTTGTCTCTCACCAGTGGGAAGAAAGCCTTCCAGGACACAAAGGTGCTTAACAAAAGTGTCTCCAGGACCTATGGGATGGATGAAGGAGAAAATGGTGAGTGAAGGTATTAATTTTCTTTGCCAGTGTATGATGACAGAGATCTGAGTATTAATTTTCTTTGCCAGTGTGTGATGACAGACACCTGAGTAGATGAACAGATGTGAGGCAGTGATGCTGAGCACATATGACCTAATGGTCACACACTCACCCAGTTCAACTCCTTGAGAGTCTGGGTGTGGGGGGGGCCCCCCTGCCACCAGCTAAAGCCCAAGGAGGACACCACGTCAGTCACCTTCCCAGCCGCCTTCAGCAGAGCCTGCCTCGCTTCCTCTGCTCCCTCCTCCGAGCCTGTGACAGCCAGGTAATACGCCAATATGTATGGACGTCATATTGATGGACCCTTAGCTTTCCATCTCATGCCCGTTCATCCCCCAGTGCACCAAAGGTGAAAGCAGAGTCGCATGCATCCCTTACCTACGTTTCCAACCACAGTGATTAGTCTGTCTTTGGTGGACGGTGAAACGAATGCCTTCAGTTTCTCCAGTCTGTTGCTGTCTCTGGATATAACAGCAACCTTGAAACCTTCAAAGAGGCAAAAGGTTACTTTACAGACCAACTCTACATATATGCATGTGATTAGTGTTCTGGACACTGGCTGTACGTGTTGCTATAGCTATGTAAATATTATCAAATACGTTGTAAAAGTCAAACGTATAGTTCTGTATAGGTAAAGCATACTCAGCATGTTTTTCATCATCTTATTTTACCTTGTGTTTACAGAGAGGTTATGTGCTTTTATTTGTTTGTTTTGTTTTGCGTGTAATGACACGTGACTGACACGCACGAGGCAGTCGCGTGCCGAATGAGGATGGGCTTCGTTCGTGTCGTGCTGTGTGGTCTGAAAGTCAGCCTTATTTTATTCCAGCCTCTGGACAGATATATTTATTTCACATTAATTTTTATTTTACGTGAATAGTGTAAATGACAGTTCAAAAAGAAGAATCGTTTTTTTTTTTATCACCGAAGCCGCGCTACAGGTAGGCTACTGGGACACGCATCAGTCACAGGGATCATCCCATTTAATTTGGCGTCAGACTCCCCACAAAATAACTGATCGATATACACAGGGGTGTCGTAAGGGGGGTCAGGACGAGTGACAGGAGGCCTAGAATTTTTGGAAAATCACTCGATTGGTCTGGACTGGGGTGGGTTGAGGGCAATGTGATATGCCCTCATGGAGCCCAAAATCTCTAGCGACACCCCAGGATATATAGGTACAGTATTATCTGATATGGAACCCAAGCATTTTCTCCCCTTAATATTTTATGTGTATGCAATTGTTAAAAAAATTTAAACTCCAGTATCATATTACCTCTTTCAGACAAGTTATACGTATTCATATACCATGAAAAAAGTAAACACTAAGATCAAAATCAATCTTTCGAATACAAGTTATGAGTAGCGCTAAGCACCTGACCACGTGACGAAGGCCGCCCTTGCGCGAGGATGTCATTGTTCTATAAGCCCTAGCATTTCTCGAAATAGCTCTTAGGCTATATTGAGATCTAACACTCTCCACCAGTGTCGCGCTTTTACAGTGTTTTGTTCACTGTGTTGACCAGCCATGGTTGGGTCCACAGCCTCGGGTCTCCATCATTCAACCTCCGCACTCAGAGGCGACCCAAACGTCGCTGCGGCGCCGTGAATCTCTCGCTGCAGCACTCCTGCGTTTACTTGACTGATATTTCGCTATTCTTTTTGTGTGTGTTCTCAGTCGCGTCCAGGCGTCGAGGTTTATAGTCGCAGTCAATAAAACTAGATGCGGCAATTAACCAGGCGTTTGGGTCTCGTGAAACTTGCCACCGCAGGGATTATTGCAGGCGCCTGCGGTGACGCCCTGAAGCATCAGGGCAGGGTTTGCGATTTCTCCGTCACGCCAACATAAAAATCTGGCTCTCTGACAAATTTTCCGTTAGTTTAGGTTAAGCGTGGCTATAATTAGCAGGGCACTTCCCGGTTATGGGCGTATGATGTGCTTAATGCGGTGAATGATATCATGCACCTTCGGTGGTGGCTTTAGCTTAACATACCCTCAAAACATTTTCTAAGGCATTTGTTTTCTCTAGTCGGCTAATGCAGTTAAACCCTGAAACACCTGCAACCTGAAATTATACCAATTTTACCAATAACGTTTACCACTAATAGACTATGCGGGGTTGGCAACTTAATTTGGTCTGACTAGTCTGCATGTAACAGTTTTAACACTTTGTAAATAGTCTAGGGTTTGCAAACTACCTCAACGCTATTGATGTAGCTAATTTTCGGTTTATAAATGAGTAATATAGATTTGCCGTGAGATTTCGTGTGTGTGAGGGTCACGCCAGCTGCGTAGGAGTTGACCGCTATGTTATATAGCTGACGTTTCAGTTAATTACCATGAATATGTTGTCTGGCCAGCAGGGCTCCAATGGGATTAAATATCGGCCCTGGACTTTGGGGTCCCCGAGTATAAATTTTGCCGACCGGGAGGTCCCCATGATGAATTTTGACGGTCTAGATACCCATTGTCCCACGGGGAAATATGCCAAATGGCCAGTAAGATTAAGCAAATGATTACCTGATTACATTACTTCTAGATACATTCCATTACGACTACATACATATTAAAGGAGATCAACTGAGCATTTTCCCAGAAGTCGGTGACTGCGTTAACGCTTCACTGACTGTAGGATAATCACATCCAATGCAGGGTTGCCAACTCTCACGGATCTGGCGTGACACTCACGCTTTCAGATTCTCACGTTTACGTAAGAAGTCTTATG